ATATATATATATATATATATATATATATATATATATATATATATATATATATATATATATATGGGGTATAAAGCAGTGTGGTGTACGGTAAAGGTTAGGTTTCTATTTTTGGCCTGTTGAATTTGGCATGGTAACGCACAACACAACATGTTTGCTATTGCAGCCGTAGGTTGGTAATTTTTCAAAAGCATGACGGTAAAACACAAACGCGGCTATGAATATATTAAAATGTGTTTGTTTTTTGTAAATATTCATAATAATGACAAAAAATACTAGTTTGTGGATCTCCTTATTACCGGGTTGAGCAAAACTGTCGCTAGTGTATTCTGGGAAATTTTTCTTACACCTTTGTTTCGAGTGTGGTCCTAAAAAAATATTAATTCAAAGGGGTATTTACCCCTTACACTTAGCATTTATGTATATATATATATATAGACACACGCACAAATATAATCTTACACACATATAATATACACACATTTTCTCTCTCTGTCTTTCTATCAGGCACACACACACACACATATACAAATATATTTACACACAAACACATATGTAAACACTCTCATACACATTTTCTTTCTCTTTCCGTCTTTCTATCAAACACACACACACACACTCTCTTTGAGACACACACACACACAGGCAACATTTTCTCTCTCTCTGTCTCTCTCTCTCACTCACTCAAACACACACTCAGTTTGCTGCATTAGCCTCAGGATCCTGGGGGAGGTTTGTTGAGGGTTTCTGAGCACCACACCCTGCGCTTCACCGCAGCTCTTTTGGCTCCTCAATGACGGCCTGTTCTGGGTCACAAACCCTGATTCAGAGCTTGATTCAGCACTTTTCTTTTCTTAGGGAAACAGCATTAAAACGCAGCGCAGCGCCGAGCAGATCAGATTATGATGACGCTTCACAGACTCACAGTGGCCTAGTCATGATCACTAACACTCTTATATTCTCACTCTTAATCTGCAGTTTATTTGTGTCCAGTGTGTGCGTGCGTGTGTGTGCGTGCGTGCGTGTGTGTGTGTGTGTGTGTGAGATTTATGAACACAGCTAAAATAATGCACTCACCGGCCACTTTATTAGATACACCTTACTAGTACCAGGTTGGACCCAATTTTGCCTTCAGAACTGCCTCACTCCTTCGTGGCATAGAATCAACTCTGAGGAAATATTCCTCAGAGATTTTGCTCCATATTGACATGATAGCATCACACAGTTGCTGCAGATTTGTTGGCTGCACATACACTTCCCAAAGATGCTCTATTGGATTGAGTTCTGGTGACTGTGGAGGCCATTTGAGTACAGTGAACTCATTGTCATGTTCAAGAAACCAGTCTGAGATGATTCACACTTTATGACATGGTGTGTTATCCTGCTGGAAGTAGCCATCAGAAGATGAGTACACTGTGGCCATAAAGGGATGGACATGGTCAGCAACAATACTCGAGTAGGCTGTGGCGTTGACACGAAGCTCAATTGATACTAATGGACCCAAAGTGTGCCAAGAAAATAACCCCTTTTTTTATCTAATCAGGCCTCTTTAAAGAAGCATTAATGGTTAATGTTGATTATTGGAGATGAATGCTGGAATCAAAAATCAGCATTAGGAATTTAATTTATGCCCTTCTCTGATTTTATTACACTGCTATTAAAATGCTGTAGGTTATTTCAACACACATTATTAATTGATTTTATTATTTTTTTTTATTGTACAATATGGACAAACCCTACTGTTGGGTTAAATTTCATTTCAGAAATCTGACTCACTGATTGAATTTGTCCATTCAAATTTTGATTGAAAAAAAAAGCTTCTTTGAGCGTATTAGTTGTAGTTTTAGTAATTTTTTGTATTGATGTCATTTTTTTCACATATTTAATTTTCCTAATTTTATTTGTTTATTTTATTTTAGGTTAATTGCCTTTTATTTTCATTTTATTTACTTTATAACATTAAGTTAAAGTAATTTACAAAATCTTAATACACGTTTTATTTATTTTATTGTATTTATGTCATTTATGTCCATTTTATTAGTTTTTTACATATATAAAAAAGATTTTCTTAATTTTATTTGTTTGTTTTATTACTTTAATTACTTTATTTGTTTATTTTTATTTTAGTTTTATTATTTTATAACTTTAAGTTAAAGTAAACAAAAAAATCTTAATACACTTTTTATTAAACACTTTTTTTATTGTTTTATTAATTTTTTTTTTGTTTT